GTAAGCAGGTGCTTTAATCAGCTGAGCTATCTGGCCAGATCTGAAATTATTCTTCAATTGAATACAAACTCTATTAATTTAAAAGTTATCCTTAAAGTATGACGAGCACACTTTACCCACATATCAGGGAAGAATGCACAGTAGTATGTTCAATAAGAAAACATTTTACACGTCATTATGTTGTGGACCGTGTTTTTCACATCCTTATTTCTGAGGCTGTAGATCAGGGGGTTCAGCATGGGGATCACCACCGAGTAAAACACAGAGGCCACTTTGAATGTGTGCCTGGAGCTCTCGGAGTTGGGCACGCAGTAGAGGAAAAAAATGGTGCCATAGAAGACGGCGATGGCCATCAGGTGGGAGACGCAGGTGGAGAAAGCCTTTCTGCGCCCGCTGGCTGAGCGCATCTTGAGAATGGTAACCAGGATGAACGCATAAGACGGGAGAATAACAAGGAGTGTGCTGATTGCATTGAATGTGGAAATAATGAACAGAAGTAACTGGTTTATATGAGTATCTGAGCTGGACAGGGAGAGTAGGGAGGAGATGTCACAGAAAATGTGATCGATTTTGTTGGAACCCGGAAAAGATAACTGCAAGGTGGAGCAGGTCAATATCAGGGAGCAAGCCACTCCCCAGGAATAGGAGCCCAGTACCAGCGTGAGGCAGAGTTTTAGTGACATGGTAGCCGTGTAGTGAAGGGGGTCACAGATGGCCACAAAGTGGTCATAGGCCATGGATGCTAATAAAAAGGCTTCTGTTATCACAAAAATGCCAAAGAAAATCAATTGCATTATGCACTCTGTAAAGGAAATTGGTTTGTCTTTTAAGACTAGGTTCGCCAGCATCTTGGGAGCAATCGTGGAGGAGTAGCAGAAATCCACGAAGGAGAGGTGGCCGAGGAAAAAATACATGGGGGTGTGCAGCCTGGGTTTAACTTTGATGACTGCAATCATCCCAATATTCCCTACCACAGTCACGGTGTACACACTCAGAAAAAGCACAAAGAGCAGAGCTTGCATTTCCGGAACACCTGAGAACCCCAAGACGATGAATGTGATTCCACTTTTGTTTCTATCTGGCAACGCCATGGTTTCTTTCATCTGAATCTGAAAGTCTACAAAGGGAAAATAATCAGAAGGGCGAAGATCCGGGATGCTTGCTTTCTTCTTCTTTTAGAGATGCTTTATGATGGCTCCAAATACCTTTCAGAATTTAAGTG